CACTCTCGCCTATCTAAATTTAGAAAATTTGAATTAAAATTTCTTAAATTTTTATATTGGTAGCATTTTTTTTAATATTTTTTAACTAAGTTTATATTGCTTAACTTTTTATTAACAAGGTGATACAAATATTATACTATTCTATCATTTTATTTATTTATCTCTATGTATTAAAAAGTAAAATAATATAATTAATATAAATGACATTTTTAATATAAAATGATAAGTATTTTTAATGTTTTTTATTAAAATTGTTAAATAATGATAACGATGACTCTCAATTGCTCTAAGTAATAACTTACAAGTCATTTGAAACGTGATCAATATATTACCTAACTCATTTTTATATTAGTTATAATATTATTTTATACTAATAAAAAAATCATAAATTCAACAGATAAAAAAATGTAAAAAACTTAACAGATAAAATAATCACCTAGATTATCTAAACAAAAAAAATTAAACGTTATTCAATTGAAAAAATATAAAATTATTAAACACCTAATAAAATAATTATTTACTCAACTAAAAATAACAATTTTTACAATAAACTTAAAATATAATTAAACTAAAATTCAATAACCCTACCAGTTTTTCCAAGTTTTAAAAAATAAAAATAAATATCATTATGTATGATTTCCTAATTTTTTTACATAGATATACTATAGGAAGCGTTACGGTGTCGTTTGCTGTGTTAGAAAACCTAGACGGAGGAGATGGCGAAGAAGCGATCAGCGCCGGTGGGCGGTCGTCGGGAAAACCGAGTGGAACCGCCTCCACCACAGGTCAACTCAGCTTCCGGTCGCAGAAATCTCGTTGTCTTCTTTATCATATCGTCCATTATTGCTACCGTCGCTTACCGGTTCAGACAATCTTCTCCTCCGCAATACCAAGAATTGTATGTGTATGAGCAAGGCCTTGTCACAATCCATGCTAATTACCAGGATGTACTCACCGTAAGTACCGCCCAAAATCAAATCATAACACCTTTTTTTTTACTTGTAAACAAAAAATTTATTTGTAGTTTTGATTTTGGTATCCCATGTTGTTTATTACAATGAATTAGGAAAATTCCAAAGTATCAGAAAATACCTCTCAGCGCCATTATAATTATCCTGTGCTTGGCTACATTACTCCCTGGTATGTTTTTTTTTTTTTTGTATTTTAATTTAGCAATTTCTTTGATGAATAATTGAATAGTGAATATGGTACTTGGCATGGATTATTTTCTGCTAAAGCAACAATTTTGTTTATGTAATTTGATATTTTATTTTTTTCGATTACGATATAATTTGCAAGAAGTTTTTGAGCTCCGAATTTCAAGTGTGTAGTGCTAATAGTCAAATTGGCCCTATCTGATTCTGATTTGAGATGGCATGTTAATATGGATGAAACTAATTAGTAAACAATAACCAAATGGATAGTTTTTAACTAGTGACTCCGGCTTACGAAAATTTGAAGTTTATTTTACCGTTTGAGTGCATAATAATTTATTCCTATTTTTATTCTTGAGCATAGACCTGCTAAAACGTCCCATCTTGTAAAAATTCATTTAAAGTTCTCTAAAAGGAGGTAGTTAGTGGGATAAACAATGGGAGTTGGGACTTGCAAGATAATAGGCTTGGTTGTGGTGGAAAATTATAATTATAATTTAAGTGAGAGATAGATCATCAGATGTGTACGGGTGAAAAATGGACCTGTTTTTCCTTAATACAGCTCATTAATCTGCATGATCCTTAAAATATCAACACTGATTTTGGCTAGTTGAATCAAATACGTATATTGAGTAATTGACTCACTCAACCCTCGGCACTATTAAAATAATTTTGATACGGGGTATTGTATTTATACATTATAAAAGAGACATGTATTCCTATTATATAGTTCATTAATCTGGAAGATTCGTAAAATTTCTGCCCCATCTTTTATTTTAGCTGGTAGAAACAAATAAGTACAATAGGAAATGGCTTCACCCAACCCTTATTGATTTAAAACCTTGGTGAAATTTCACAAGTTGAAAGTTATGGTTTTGTTTGTTACAGTATCACGATTCTTCTTTTCAGTAAAACCCAATTCATGTCTTCTACTAGCTGACCTGTTTCCCAAAATTTTAACATCTTCATAGTTATATTGCTTAGTCTTTAATATGAAAATTCAATTTTTCTGATCCATTTGGATGAGATTCTTTTCCTTTGTGTCATTCTTCCTGTGATTACAATCCTTTGTATGTCAAAAAAATGTTAATTATGACAGGAATTCTCGAGGTTATGAATTGGCAAAAAGGTTCAACTCTAAATTCACACATATATCACCCGTTTGGTATGATCTAAAGAGGTATGTACCTCAGTTCCAAATGACTTATTGAAGTAATAGAGGGGTGGGTGCAGAGTTAAGACCTATGACCTGTGTGATGTGTAATTCTCCTTCTACCTTTTCATTAGAACTTTCAACTCTAATTTGCAGCACTAAAAAATTTCTACAAATTTTGGTTTCTCAAGTTTTCTGCCTACCATTAATTTTTCTACAAATTATGACCTGACATGGTTCCTTTTGGGAGAAGAAACAATATCCAGGGCTCACTTTAACCGACATCACAGCCTCCTTGAGGATCAGCAGAATATTTTTAATCCTCACATACTTCATAATTTATTCACTGCAATGAAATTCTGGTGACTACTTGATCATAAATCCCAGGGTTTGTCATTTAGTAGGCTTTTATTATACTGCTTTATGGTTTTGTTTCATCAGTTGTTATTGCCAGCCAACAGACTAGCTTAGTTCTAGAGGGGAGACATAATGCTGACAGAGGATGGATCTCAGAGCTTAGAAAGTCAGGAGAAGCTTTGGTACAGTGAATTATTGTCAACTTTTAGACTTATTTTCATTTCATTCATTACTGGAAAATTAAATGCCCCTTTATCCATAATTTTTTGCTGGTCTTATTTTCACTTTGAAAGCTTTTTACATGATAACATTTTTTATTTTGGATTTGTAAACTAGAAAATAGACCTGTAAAGGTTATTCCCTTTAGCTTTCTCCTTTGCTTCTTTACGAGAACGCTATTATCACTTGCCTAGTAACTTTGTTTATAATTTTTTAAGTCTCAGAACTGAATCCTTTGATCTGTCTACAGCCAGTATACATAATATGGAGCATGTTGAATGCTTAATGCTTTGTATGTTTATGATGAAATTCATCTAATGCAGCTCCGGTATATGTGTGTTTTGCAATCTAATTTGAACGAAAATATATATCCTCTAATGTCTAGTATATACTGACTGATATGTTATGAGGGATGGCTGATAATTGGAAAGAAAGTAGAGAAGAGAGAATAGCGTTACTAGGCAAGTGATAATTGGAACGAAAATATATATCCTCTAATGCCTAGTAACTCTTTATTTGGTTGACGAGAGAACCTTTTAAAAAATACAAAATTTTCTTTATTTGCATTTTCGCTCTTCCCTCTCTTTCATCTAAAGTAAATAAAGAGTGAGGTTATTGAGTACTTTAACTCATCCCAAGTAGAAGGTTGGAACAGGCTGATTTGGACCTTGTACTGGCTACAATGTAGCTGATCCCATTTTTTCTCGAACTTGTTGGACTTCACACTTGTTTAATTGTCTTGAGATTGTCTTATACTTTTCTTTGTA